GGAATAGGGTTTGTGATATAAGGGTTTGGAGCAGAGATGTTGCAACATGGTTCATAAGGTGGTGGTTGATAAGGATAAGGAGGGCATTCATATGAGGGAGGAGAAGGCAGATGAGGAGGAGGAGGAGGTGGTGGTGGTGGTATTGATGCAAGGGGTGGTGGTGGTGGTGGTGGTATTGGATAAAGGGTTGGAGGTGGTGGAGCATAGAAAGGACATGGAAACTCACATGGATCACAATTCCAACATGGGTTCGCGGCAGTCATATTAGTGCCGACCTTGTCAAGCATCTCGCAGTAGGCGATCCCGAGAATTGAAAGCCAGAGAGTAGCTAAAATTGTTGAGACTAACTTGTTTGCCGTCATTGAAAACCTGAAATTGGAGACGAAATTGTGATTGATGAAGATGTGTGTGACTGTGTTTGAAAGAGAGAGAGAGTACCTCTTAATGGCTTGGGAGGAGAGGAGAGGGTAGTAAGTGGAGAAAGACCTTCTTAGAGTGATTTAAGAAAGAAGATGGCGATGTGTCAAAGGGAGAGTCACCTCCTATGGCTTTCGAGAAGAGGAAAGGTAACAGGTGAAAAGGCCTACTACATGTCCTTCAAGAGACAGAGAGAGAGAGAGAGTCTGAAGAAGATTCACAAGGATGAAGGTGACGCGTAATGGATATGATTTAAGGTGGCAGCATGGAGAGAGAGAACAAAGAAGAGAGAAGAGAGAGAGAGGTAGAGAGAAGATAGAAGAAGAGAGAGAAAAGCCAAAAAAAAAGAGAGGAGAGACGAAACATGAAGAGGTAGAGAGAGATGATAGAAGAAGTGAGAAAAAAGAAAAAAAAGAGAAGAGAGAAGAAACAAGAGAAGAGAGAGAATGGAGAGAAAGAGAGAGGATTTGGAGGTAAGCGTTTTGGAAGAATGGATTTATGACATTGGAAGAGAGAGAGAGAGGAGAGGATTTGGAGGTAAGCGTTGGAAAAACGGATTTATGACATTGGAGGAATTTGAATTAAAATTCGGTTGAAAAACGTAACCCGAATACTTAATTGATTTGAAGTTATGGTCATTTCCCTTAGTTAATTGGGTTGAAGTTTTGGTCATAAATGCATTGAGAAGAGGAGAGATTGACCGGTCTCGCCTTCATCTCATTCCCCTAGAAAGGAGGTTATGGGGGCATTTGTTAAAGACCTGCTTTTTATGTAGCTTGTGTTCATGAGATCACATTTTGTGTACGTTTTTCATGGGGAATTTTGAAAATTTAATGCAATTTAGAGAGAGAGTGAAAAAGAGAGATCATCCCAAACCAAAAAATGCCACTCGCACAATCCCCCCTAAAAGATGAAGGCAAAAGGGCAATGTTTTTATGTCACCCCAACAACATACAAGTGATTTGTGACCTCATTTCTTAGCCATTTAATCCAAATCAAATAGCTACGGTTGTTCATACCATGATGTCACGCCAAACACAATTTTATTTATTTATTTGTCTCTATACCACATTTTTTTTATGTAATTTTGGATTTCTCATCATAAAATTAGGTCGAACATAAAAAAATAAAAATAAATGACCAAAATGCCTCTATAATTTTCAAGAGTATTCTAGTAATTTTTCATCATAGAAATATTTGTTTGTTATTTTTATCATGGGCATCCCCGGCAAATCTATTCATTCTCCAAATTTTGCTTCCATATGTTTTATAAAATAAAAATAAAAAATAAAAAACTAGGAGTCGTGTCCTATTAAGATCTCAAGGTTAAGACCTGGCTTGTGACATTGTGACTCAAGCCATCTCCACAATCTACTCAAATGTGATAGTTGAGACCAGGGGTCACATATACCATATATATGGTTAGGGTCATAGAAAGCCCTCTCAAAGAAAAAATCCTCAATTATTGCATAAATTTTCGTTAAAATTTGGAATTCTTTTCCACCAGAATTGAACATATTGATAACCCCCAAATATCCTCATATTTCACGACAATTTATCGAGACTCGGGCAAGTACACTCAAGCCTGACTGGGCTCAAAAGCCCTTAAAAAGAAAATAGAAAAATGTTCACAAATATAATGAAATTAGTAATGGACAACTAAAAACCCAAAAAACAAAAAACTTAAAAAAATACATAAATCATGGATTTAGAAAAATCTTATTTATTATTAGGGCTATTTTTAAAAAACCAGAATAAAATACAAAAATAGCGAATAAGACAAAAAAAAAGTCTCTCAAACACCTCCAAATTACATATAAAAATACTATACATCAATTCAATATTTTTATATAATTTTAGATTTTTTTATTTTTTTGTGTTCCAAAGTACTCGGTAACTTGGAGGAACTTGTAGAGAAAGCCAAGTAACCCAGCCTAGTCCGAGTGGACTCAGGTAAATGTCAAAACCTTCCTTGAAGATATTATGGAAGTTAAAATTTTTATTATCGGATAAGCCGGTAAGCATGTCTGATAGCATCAAACAAAAAATAAAAAAAATCAGATTATATCATTAAATCACGATCTTCCACAAAACAAACTTAGACTTGACCATATGAATGCTTTAGGGTTAACATTTCTTCTCCTCCAATTTTGAGTGATTGGGATATAGCTCAGAGCTCTCTTCTCTTATCACATGAGCTTCCCCTCTACATGGGCTTCCCCTCTGTCTCTATTGTCTCTCTCTAGCCTGGTTTTTGTAAATATATGAATGAAAAATCATTAAAATATATCTAACTTATCAACTATTTCATGTTGGTAAAAGTTTATATAAAGTTGACAAGAATTTAGGTGCACCTCGAAAATCATTTGAAAAAGTTGTTTTGATGTTGGAAAAACACCTAATTGAACATCTCGATATCCGGATGTTTAGACATGAAGAAAAAAAGAGATTTTTGAGTTTTAAAAATAACACATTTTACAATACATTTTCTGGGCAGCCCATATTCAAAATTTTCATACATTTATAGATTTGCTTCTGAACCATTTTTGGAGCTTAAAATTTTATAATTAGAGATAAAAATAGATTCGTATACAATGCCAAAAAAAATGTGACACCAAAACTACATCTCATAACAAAATTTAGAAGTGCACTTTACTTTGATTGTTTAAGGTCATAACCTTATGCAGAAACACAGTTTTTTAACATTTTACCCTTTTGCAACCATTCTACCTTATGTTTATATTGACAAGTATTTTAAAATTAAAAAGATAAGTACAATATTTATTCGTATTTCAATAAATTCCCTTTATATAACACACCCCTCCCCTCTCCAAACTCCACTGGCAAGCCCCAAGATGAAAAGGGGATTACTTTCCTTCCAGGCTTTGAATCATCTCTTGTCATGTCTCAACTTAGGGGCTTTCTTCCTTAATGGTGTAAAATACCTTTTAAAAAAAAAAAAAAATTTATTGTTTATATACGTGGAATTTGGCAAATCCTTTGGCAATTTAATTTGGGTTTGGCTCTATGATAATATTAATTTTATTTAATCCTAAAAATCCTGCTGAATTTGAAAATGATTCTAATTATTTGGTGTTATTTTCTGCAGTACACTTGTAATTGCAAATATTCAAATAGCATTAATGAAATACAAAAAGTAAATAGCCAAAATATGCCACCCGAGGTTTTAGAGCTCACCTAACCTAAGGTATTTGGTGAGTAATTCAGAGAGTCTGAGTGGACTCAGCCAATTTATAAACCCCCACAAATAATACCAAGTAAAAAAGAACAATTAAAAAACTTTGTAAAAAAGTTTAAAAATTAGAAAAACATTGAAAATGTAATAGAATATCATTAGAATACTAGAGAAGATGAAAGTAGAGTATGAAAAAAAGATTATTGAAAATTTTGATTTATACCTTGAATATCTAGAAAAATTAAAATGAGAAAAAAAAGTCAGGAAGTTGCCAAATTATCTAAAGGGAAGGCTTTCTATGTCCCCCTACAACATAAAAGTTCTATCCTCCCTCTTATCCAACCGTCCATTTTTTAATGGAGGGCTAAGATTGCCCCAATCACAATGTCACGTTTCTACACTATTTTATTTTTAATTTTTTCTATAAACTATTTTGATACCAAATTTGGGACGTCCATTCCTCTATTAAACTCGCACTAACGAAAAAATATAAAAAAAATATTTGTAATAAAATAAAATGACCAAAATACCTCTGAAAATTTTAAGGGGTATTTTGGTCATTATTTTTTATCTAAGAATTATTGTCAATATTTTTTTATAGGTGCGTCCCAATGAGAAGATCGTACGTACCAAATTTCATATTCAGAAAATTTATATTAAAAAAACTAAAAATAAAATACTTTGAGAGATCGGATTTAAGATCAAACGGTGTGTGGCTCTCTCGATAAAAAATGGAGGGCTGGATGGTAAGGGGAGGATAGAACTTCTATGTTGTAGGGAGAACATAAAAAGCTTTCTCTTATCTAAAAAGCATCAAAATACATCTAAAAAATAATTTTAAATTTAAATAGTATTTGTATGCTTTTAGTATATCTATAATGTTATTTTCCATATTTTGTATTTTATAATATAAAAAAAAAGAGAGGCTATTTTTGGTTACCTAGCGAGTTGGGAACCCCAACCCCAACGGATATTAAAAAAAAAAACGCATCACAGAGAATTCATTATTTGATGTAAATAGAAATTGCAAAGTACCAAATTGACAAGGAAATTGGCAAAAATGAAACCCCATTACCACTCAAAATGGGAACCATCAAGGGGTAGGTAATGTAAGAATTTCGATACCTTTTTTTTTGCGCTGAATAAAATATTAAAAGATATAAAACTTACAAGATGTGCGAAGAGGGTATTAAAGTACCAACAAAAAATGCCACATGAAGTATCTGAGGTTGGCATAAAGGTCAAGAAACGAAATGTGGTGCAAAGATTAGGTAAAACGGTTGATGGTCCTTCATGACTATAATGTGAAAATGAATTAAGAAGATATTATTTACCCAGAAAAATGGCAAGATATTCAACAACACGTAGTTTTAAAACTCGCAACAGAAAAATGGGAAGATATTCAACAACATGTAGTTTTGAAACTCGCAACAGAAAAGAAAAAGAGTTGCATACATCACATCCTCTAATTTCTCTCTCAACTACTCACCCCACGCACCACAAATACTCACTCTCACGTTTTGCATTCTCTCTCTTGTGAATTCAACCTCGTAATCTCTCTCAAGTACGAGAGTCAAGCACTAGCCTCGTGCGAGTTTCAGGTAATAGGTATTCTTAAATTTAATGAGTTATTTATGGCACGAGATGATCATATATCTCTGCTTCTGTTCTCAATCGATGTTTTATTGTTCTATACTGATTGGATGATAATTTTTTATCGCGAGAGGGAGAGAAGTTTGTTTTTCTAATCGGTGTTATACTGATTGGATGATATTTGTATAGTGAGAGATAAGTTTGCAATCCTATTATACTGATTAGATGATATTTTTGTAGTGAGAGATAAGTTTGCAATCCTAATCGATATTTGAAATATACCCATTGAATGATGATTTTTGTAGTGAGAGAGAGAAGTTTGCCATCCTAATCGATGTTTGTATTATACCGATCGGATGATGATTTTTGTAGTGAGAGATATGTTTATTTTCAATTAATGTTTGTGGTATCATACCGATTGGAAATGCATATCAGTATTTTCGAGACTGTGGTTTTGTATGGGGCTGATGAGTGTGCAACTCAGGGCTCAGGAATTGTATTATGATTTGGCTATATCCCGGGAGTATACTCATTGGGACCCATTTGCACCTTGAAAATTTATCGAGACGGAGGCGTTTAGCATTTCAAAGAAAGTGCGGACATCTCGTACCTCCAGATCCCCTAAATTTTGTCCCAGTTATATGGAATTTATGTCCACCGTGATGTAGAGTCAACCACAGTCAAATTCCAAATAACAAACAGAGGTTTTAGTGAAGTAAAATGGTATGTAATGGTTGTACAGGTTAGGAATTTTTTGATGCTATGACAAGATCCAATGAGATTATGAACAGAATATTTAGCATATAAGAAAGGAAAGTTTGAATTTTGTTGGCTTTTGACCAAAATTTGTTTTTTTTTTTACTGTAGTGATTGTTGTATATTCCAGCTCTTGTGTTAACACAACACACAATTCAGTGAGATTTCAGCTGAAATGCTTACCATAGTAGGAAATAAAAGTTCTAAATTTTGTTCAATTCAGTTTCTGGTAGAACAAATTGGACTGTAATGATTGTTGTAACTGGAAGTTTTGTGATAACAACAAAGTAAGATTTAGGCCTAAATATCTGGCATATAAGGGAATCCTTTAACACCAGAAAATCGACATATAAAATTTAAACTCTTACATTTCAAGACCAGGATGAGTGAAGGTAGGAAAGAGGCCCAATTCTACAAGTACTGCACTCGAATTGATGGCAGTAGGCGTAAGGGACACTATTGTGGGAAGACAACCACTGCAGGGATCACAAGAATGAAGAAACACTTGGCAGCACGAAAGGACATCGCAAAGTGCCTAGAGATTTGATAGTGCTGGTGAAGACAGTCCTTGATAAATGGTTGGCTACGGAACAAGCTAAATGCCCAGACCATCAAGAAAGGGATGTATTAGAAAAAATAGTGACGAGGATGATGATGAATATCATACTGAAGAAGAATATGTCCCCAAACAATATGGGAAACAGATGGGTCACAATTCTCATTCATCAATGCATTCGGGATCCCTAAAGAAAAGTGTTCGTAGTCGTGGAAGTCTGGTGGTGCTAGTACCAATGGTGGGTTGTCCTAAGGTAGCCGTGTTGGTAATGGGCCATCTACGCACCCTTTTCCTCCTTTCTTATTAATGGATTCTCGCACAAATAGCAGTGATCGTCGAGAAGAACAACAAATGATTACAAAAACTTTAGCTTGGACTTCTTGTGATTTTGCATGTGAGTTTATATTGAAAATGTTTGTCGACAATGCGATTCCATTCAAGTAGCCTCTTCGAGCACGTTTAGGGATGCTATGAATGCCATTGCAAATCATGGCAAAGGTTTAAAACCCCTACTACCAATGAGCTATTTGGTGTGCTTTTACGAAAAGAGAAGGCCGTATTGGAGGAAACTATGATTTCACAACGTAGTTTATGTTGGCAACAACATGGTTGTACAGTAATGGTGGATGGTAGGAAAGATTAACATGGCCATATCCAGTGTTTTAAAAAGTGGACCGCCTTGCGCCTGGGTGGCCACCTAGGCGGTCCAGAGGGCCTGGGCGTATCGCTCAGGCCTAGGCAGCCAAATTAGGCGGATATCCTTGGGCGCCTGCCTAGGCGCTAGGGAACCCGCCTAGGCGCCTGGGAACCTGCCTAGGCGCCTGCCTGAACCCACCTAGGCGGTCGCTCCAGCGACCGCCCATGGCCTGCGCCCTGCCTAGGTGCAGAAATGGGGCTCCTTGAGGGTATTTTTGGGTCATTTGTTAAAAATTATGGGTTTTAGGTTCATTTGAAACCTAAAACCCATTAGAGGCTATTTTAGAGAGAGAAAATCCAAAAAAAAAAAAGATTTCTACTGGACCGCCCAGGTTCTAGGTGCCCACCAAAGCGTTGGGCAGCCTGGACCCCCTCGACCGTCTAGGTGCCGCCTAGCGCTTTTTGAAACACTGGCCATATTTTAGTCAACTTTATGTTTTATTGTTCCTCAGGTATGTAAATTGGAGTTTATATTGTACAAATTTCATAGAGCTTGTTTATCTTATGGAGTGTAATAACCGAGGAAATTTTGAAAACTATAGGAACAAAATTTATGAAGAGCATAGATATCGACGATAATTGCATGACTGGGGACTATATTTTTAATTTGTTTAGGCAGGTTATCGATTATGTAGGATTATGTAGGAGCAAAGAACTTTGTTCTGAGAGTTAGGGATCCATGAGCTGCATTCAAATTTGCTCAGAGAAGATGGGCAGAAGATTATGGCCATATATACTGTGTAACATGTGCAGCGCATGTCATCGATCTTATTCATCAAGATTTAGAAGAATTTGATTGGGTTAAAGAGGTATTGGTTATGGAATGAAAATTCTTAAGTTTGTCTATAACCATGCTTGGGTACTCACGAAATTTAGGGAACACTCTAATGGGGGAGACATCGTGCACCCATCGATCACTTGTTTTGGGTTTAGTTTCATTGCCATTCAGGTTTTGGTTGAGCAGGTGATGTTTTTCAAAAACTAGTTCTCAACCCTGAGTGGAAAAACTGTAGTTACTCAAAGACTGATAAGGGGAAGAATGTCCAAAAGTTAGTGATGAGTGATAGCTTTTGGAAGACAGCATTTAATGCAAGAGCAATGGTAGTTATTAAAGGTCTTGCAATTGGTTGACTCAGACAAACCCACAATAGGTTACATCTTTGATGCTATGTGCACTGCCAAGGCTTTGATAAAAAGGGTCATCGGTCCACAAATGTGTGCAAGATCATTGACAGTAGGTGGAGAAATCAGCTTCACTCTGATATACATGGTGCTGCATATCACCTAAATCCATATTATTAGTTCAAACCATCGAGTAAAATAGGAGGAAATGACATGCATTAATTAACAGCAGTGTGTATATAGTTGTCAAAAAACTAAATCAACCTTTTAGTTTTTTTTCGTAGTTGATTGGTGGAGCGCTTATGGTATTGAGTTGGCTGAACTCTGAAACCTAGCAATTTGAATTTTGAGTCAAACAACTACATCTTCAGGTTGCAAGCGAAATTGGAGTACATTTGACCAAGTACATGCAAACCGAATGAATCATTTGGCTGCAAAGAAGTTGAATGACCTTGCTTTTGTCCAATATAACTCACAACAACAAAAGCCTGAAAGGCCTAAACGTTGTCGTACAGACCCTACAAGTGTTGAAGCATGCTTGTAGATGATCCACTAATAGAATGGATTGCAGGCAATGATGAGGAACCAATGTTATCAGATGATCTTCAATGTTTGGAAGAAGGGATAGAGAACCAACTCACCCTAGAGGAGCATGATGGTATTGAGTGAAAAATGTTACTCTTCTTTAGTTAATGCACGTTTGGTTTGCATGAAATTGTTTTCTAGAAAACATTTTCACATGACAAAAATTCTCTCATGTGGTTAAGTGTAGGAATTTTTTATACCAATTGGTCTTAGTGCATCTTTTCACACCAATAGGCAACTAATTGATATAAAAATATTCCCACACTTGACCACATGAGAGAATTTTTTCATACGAAAATGTTCTCCAGAAAATTATTTCACATGAACCAAACGTGCAATCGCATAACATCGTACAATTTTCACTACGTCTCGGCTCCCAAGCCTAATTGTATAAGGTAATCTGGGTGACAAGGATCCATACGGAGCTGGTCAAATTCAAAGTAATCTTCAGGAAACTGCTCTTTTAAATAACCATGTTTGTCACATTTGTATGATCCAAAATTTTATACTTGCACTCTTCCAACAATTGTGTCCAGCCCGTCCATTTGGTGGACATTGAGATCTAGGCTTTGAAGAATTCAGAATTGAGATAAAAAAGACAATCCCTCTAAGGCCTAGATCTAATCATCCCATCAAATGGATGGCCTATATCTATTAGATTAAAAAAAAAAAAAAGATTTTTGCTGTGTGTTTTCAAATTTTGTTTTTTTGAGGTCGTTTATCACAGTGTATTGAGTGTATGTTAAACATTATCGTCAAACAAGTTCTCCAAACATAGTTTTTGAAGGTGTAGTTCATTTTGTAACTAGTTCGTTTGAATTTTAAGGCTAGATCCATTGTGAATCTGTGCAATGTCAAGCTCTACAAACCCATCACTGGTAACCAGTCTTGATGGAGAGGAATATGAGGCTGAACTACTCAAATGGAAGGAGGATTCCTATGGTGGTGTTATTGTTAACTTGGAAGCAACTATGGATGTTGGAGCCTTTGTTTGTTCGCTGAAAGCATCACTATCCAAATGGAGGCACTTGGTAATCTCTTGTTCATTAACTCTTAAGTAGGTTAACCCATTGGATTCAGTTAAGATTTTGGGTGTGCATATTTCTTGCCCTCAGGCACCAGAAAAATATATAAAAAGATAATTCTAAAATATAAAATGACAAAAAATCCCTTGCAACAATGAAGGGTATTTTGGTCATTTTATTTTTAATATTTTTTTTTTATATTTTCTCAAACTCTCAGAATTTTCAGCCTGATCTGATTTATAAAATAAGATAAGATTCAAATAGTGCAAGCGAATTAGTGATTTCATAAAAAAAATTCATAGTATTGGAATGAAAATCCAACTTCAGAAATCGTGTTAGGGCAACTTTGAAACATATACTATTTTCATCTCATTGAACAATATTAAAGAAATAAAATTTCAAAACCACACTAAAAATGCGGTTTTGTTAACACAATAAATGTAGGCCATTCATTTGATGGGTCGGTTAGATTTGGGCCTTGGGGGATTTCTTTGATCTCAAACGTGGTAGATAACCTTATCATCGTCAGATGATCATATTCTCTTTTAAGTTGAGTTGGAATTCTTAAAGGCCTAAATCTATTTTCCACCAAAATTAATAACTTATGTTCATTGTTGGAGTGAGATTAATTTGAATCTTTTCTAGGATGCTAGTTCAATTTTTCTACGTTCTTTATGAGATATGATCATTGGGATAAAGACAGTGTCTGTGCAAAATTTGGGGCCATAGACAGTGTTTTAAAGGAGCGTATTTATTATATTGTTATGAAACTGTTGCATGAAATCACTTCCCTTTGTCATATATGCAAATGGAGAGAGAGAGAGAGAGAGAGATTAAATAAGCTGATTGGTTTATAACATGATACATGCTCGGCTACCATGATAGGAGGAGAAAGAGAAATGACCTAGATTCTTGCACTAATAAAATTAGGTTTTTGAAAAAAGTAGGGGTCCTATGCACCCTAAATGTTATGCACATTTAGGTCACATCTAGCTTCTCACAATAAAAAAGAACAAATCCACGCAAAAAATTTGGGCAAAAGGAGTTCCACCATTCTACATTTTGTCTCCTATGGTTCGATCTTGGGGGTCTGGCTTATACTTTTCAAGAGGCAGGTAGGCCCATTGATTCACTCCCTCTTTATATATATGGTGATGTTAGAAAAATCTACTCCCAAATTTTGGATAGTAAGTTGCCCTTAATATCATTGAAATACATTAATGTATTCCTTTGTGTGAAATTAGAAAACGGCATTAGATGTAATTGTTGATTCCTCCCATGGCTATGCTCCCGCATATGCAGCCCATGCTTGTGGGCAAAAAGTTGCCCCATGAGTGTGGGCAAAAAGGTAACTCCCCCAAACAAAAGAAAAGCGCGGGGGGTGTTGGTTCAGGGGTATATAAAACCAATTTTGGTGGTTCTTTGATGATTAAAAGACAATTTTTTTTTAATGTAGATAATTACTGGAATATAGAGTTTCGGAAAAAGGAGTAAGAGATTCTTTTTGGTCATCTTTGTAGAAAATTTGTATTTGGATATTTGGATTATATCTTGAGAGTTGATTATTTTTTATTTTTTAATGTCTTCATAAACTTTTGGTAGTTATCTCTTTGGAATTTGAAATTTAGATTTTGGAATTTTAGATGTTTATGCGAAGTCTGGAATTTTGGATAATTGAGATAGAATATATTGCTTTACATGTATTAAATAAAGATTAGCAACAAACTCTATTACCCTTTAGCTCTATTACTCTATTAGCTCTTTTTTTAACCTTCTCTAATTTTTAACTTTTTTTAACTTTTTCTCTTTTTTTTTACAATTTTCTTGGGGTTATAGGTCGAGTTCAAGTCACCTTGGCCGAGGTGACTTCCTAAACATTGATTTGGAGCTTTTACTCTGGTGGTAACATATTATATTAAACTTGGGCTTTTTACTGATTGTTTTACTATCACCTGATGATCTCTCCATTGCATAATATATTTGATGCATCCACATCTTTTTTAGCATTTTTTAACGATTTCTTCCCGACCAACTTCTCCAATCTTGTTTTACAGGGTAAGAAAGGAGTTTGGATGAAATTACTTATTGAACAATCACATCTTGTTGATGCTGCAGTTCAGGTATGTCATTTAGAGTGTGGTTACTTAAAAAGCTGAAATATTACGAGCACTTATTTGTTCGTGTTCTATGTGTATTCCATTTTTATTATATGCATTGGATGCTTTTGTATGAACTCCTAGTCTTTTATGGATGGTTGTGATTATTGCATGCTTTTTGCTTTCTGCTGATCTGTTGTTTTTGAAGAATGTTGGGATTTAGTGGGGTATGTAGCTTTAGTTTAAAGCAAAACCATACCTCAAAAATAGAATTTGGTGTTCATTTCTGTTAATAAATAATAATAAATAAATAAATCATGGTGGAAAGTAAATCGTAAAAAGAAAGATATCTTTGGAAAAAGTTGCAGTTTTGGGGAATGTAATTTTTGTAGGCATGAAACAAGGGATGCATGAGGAGAGAAGGCATTCCTAACTTATATCACTAGAAGTGCTATCATTTCATAGACCAACATTTTTTTTTTTGATAATGTTAACATTTTTCATAGACCAACAAAATTGATGCAGTGAAAAAATAATAAACCAGAAATAAAAAAAAAATTGAAGGTTTGAGAGGTTATACCCTCTCTCTAGGCCTACAAGGGAGTCCACCTCAAGATCTTTGCACAAGATCAAACTTTTTCTTTATTATCCAATTACTCTCTACAAAGAATGAACCTCTTCCTTTTAAATACAAACTAAAAAGAATAATAAATAAATAAATAAAATTAAACTCTATCTCTCCCTTATCTATAAAAAACAAATTTAAATCCTAACCAACTTAACCATGCTATTCCCCATCCATATCCGTCTTCAAAAAAATAAAATAGAAAAAACTAAACTTTTAATTCTACCCCTTAAATCTCTACAACTAAAAAAGGCAAGAATAATCTTAAAGAAAATTAAAAATCCAATTTCTAAGTCCTAGAAAACATTTTCATGTGAACTAAACATGCCATAATAGATGTTGAAGTTTCTCTAATTAAACAGGGTTTATTCTATATCTTCTTATGCCTCAATCAGCTGTGTTCCTACTAATATTTGGGCTCAATTTTTGGTGGTCGGGTGATCTGCAGAGAACCACTGGAGGAAAGCGTCCTTATTTGTTTCTCTTTTGTGTTGCAGACTTCTTAAGAAAAAGTTTTTTTTCCCTCCTGTATTATTGCCAGCTGTTAGTCCCATATTTTCTTTGTTATGTGATGCTGCTTTCCTAGCTTTCTCCCTCCTATGTTGGTCGTGTTGGATGAGCTCAAAATTCTATCCATTGGCCACACCTCTTGCAAAAATTTAATATCTTAATCAATTTTTAAGATTAATATCATGGGGGCGCCTTCTCTCCCTTTTATGGTTTTGATTTATATAAAAATTAATATCTTATTGCCACACAATGTGGAGTTGTATAAAAAAGCAATTATTAATATCATGGCTAGGTGCATGTGTTAGTATAAATGTGCCACATGTGTGCTTTTTAAAGAAATGTACCCTTTCTCTCTCTTCTAAAAATTAAAGAAAGGTATTTTACTAATTAAAAGAAAAAGGATACTTTTACTTTTTAAGAACCGTGTCAGGTACTTAGTTTTTAATAAACAAAAATTAGAGAAAGGATACTGATATTAAAAGACAATATTTTCTCTCTAAAATAAATGAATAGAAGTACAAAAAGTAAAAAATCCCTCTGTAAACCTAATTCTCTTTCACTAAATAAAAGAAAAAAACTTGATGTAGGCACCCAGACCCGCCTAAGCACCTGCCTTAAACAAGTCCTCCTGACCTCCCCGCTTAGGCGGTGTGAGAAACAGGCTGCCTAGATTGCCAAACGGGGACCTAGACCCGCTTAAGCGCCTGCCTTAAACAAGTCTGCCTGGACCTCGATCCCCCCTTCCCCTGCCACTAGGCCATGCCTAGACGGCTTGAAAAACAGGCTGCCTAGGCGGTCGGCGGCCAAATTTTTGTACAATAAATCAAGGGAATAGATGTTTGGATGTTGAGAGGATGAAGGTCTTTTTCAATGGTTGTTATTGAGAAATATGTAGAAGGGTTGGGAAGCTGTATGGAATGTGGCCTTTGAAGTTTAACGGCTCCTTGATATGAATAAGAGGGAGGTTTTAATTGGCAGCTTGGATTTTTGGAGGCCTTTTTAAGATAATTTCCCTTTTCTTATGACCCCTTGTCAATATTTTTCTATATTGGAAATATTTCTATGCTGTAGATGCTCCAAGAATTCTTTGAAACCACCGTCTAATGCCTTGCAGGAGGGCTTTTGGTATCACCATGCAGAGCCAACCTATCTAATGCTTGTACACTGGATTCCTAACACCGCTCATACCTTTCCTGTCAATGCCTCACACCGTGTTGGAATCACTGCTTTTGTAATGAATGATAAAAGAGAGGTTCTCTCTCCCTCTCTCTCTCATACATATACATTTGTGCACACCTAATGGTGACTTTGCTTCTCTCTGGATGTCCATGTCTGTTAGGTTCTGGTAGTCCAGGAAAAGTCTGGAAAATTCCAGGGGAGTGGCGTATGGAAATTTCCTACGGGTGTTGTTGATGCGGTATTCCTCTCTCTAGATCTGAAATCATATAATTTTCCATTTGATCAATGAGGTCTTGCTGCTTTTATCACTGTTTTTTATTCCTGATCTCCTTTGTAGGGTGAAGATATTTCTGTTGGGGTCGTTAGAGAAGTGAAAGAAGAGACAGGGGTAAGCAACATGTTCTGTTTATTACTTAATATCTACAGAAAACGTTTATATTAGTGCGAGGCTCTAAACAATCAAATTGGAGCGCACCTCAAAAATTTCACTAGAAGAGGTTGTTTTGATGCTCAAATATCCTCATGATCATCTCGACCTCAAGATGCATGGACATGAGAAAAAATTGGATTTCAAGTTTTGGAAATAGTGCATCTTGTGTATTTTTGGACCCTCAATTTTCAAGATTTTCAAGTTTTCATGGATTTGCTCGGTCTACACTATTTTTGAAGCTTTAATTTTTATAATTAGATATGAGAATATATTTTAAGGCTATCACAAATATTTTCAGTATTAAAACCACATTTCTCGACACTATTTGAAGGTGTACTGTACTTTGATTGTTTAGAGCCTTAGCTCTATACAAACCATACTCAATATCTCCTAGCTTTCCTTTCTTTTAAAGTTGTCTTTATGTCATCGCAGATCAACACGGAGTTTGTGGAAGTTCTTGGGTTCAGGTTTTCTCTCTCGTCCCCAAACCTTAGCTCCACCCCAACCTCTTTTGTCCATGATTAAGCTTTGCATATTTGAAGATATGCATTCTTAAAACAAAAAAATAGTATTGGTTCTCTAGGATTGACACTTACGGCACATTTGGTTCGTGTGAAAATGTTTTCTACATGAAAGAATTTTCTCATATGGTCAAGTGTGTGATTGTTTTTACATCAATTAGTGGTTAATTGATTTGAAAAGATGCACTAAGATCAATTGGTATGAAAATATTTCCCCCACTTGACCGCATGAGAGAATTTTTTTTATATGAACGAAACTTGTTAAGGCTACCTCATTTATTCATATATGAGCTTATCATGATATTTAAATTCTGTAGGCAAGCTCATGAGGCCTTCTTTGGGAAGTCAGATTTGCTCTTCGTATGCATGTTGCACCCCTTGACACATGATATTGTGAAACAAGATGCCGAGATCGCACACGCTCAGGTATGGATACATGCTCACGGTGTATGCATTTATGTGCACGTGGGCATGGAGATGCATACACGTAGTTATCATGCAACCTCATTAAGTATGCATTACATGCAGATGTGTGCACACTCGGGTATCACAAGATGGTGCACACAAATGTATGCACATACATCCACTTGCATACATAACAATATACCTCCATATATTTCTCACTTTCTATTTGTAAAATTATTGTTATTGTTTCTTACAAATGTCCCATGTATTGCTCATATACAAGTTTCTTTGCTGCTGGGAACCGAGACTTTCTCCGATTACACAGTTTTGCGGTGTACCCCCACAACAAATTTAATATGTTAGTGAGAGAGAGAGAGCCATGGAGCAGCAGTCGCATAGAGAGAGAGTATGTGTGTGAACATTTGTATCTTCAAATTTAGGAAAATTTACTTCCGTACTGATTTTTTAAACTGTTATAACGAAAGGGCCCAAAATAGGCTGCTATTACTCGGAAGGACGGGCACCTCAAAAAAATTTATTTTTAGACAAATTTGCCCCCCCGGTCTGTGTTTTTTACAGCGTCATTTTTTTTACGGTCTAAGGCGGTCCTATGTTTCTAACATTGGATCGCATTTAGACCTCAATTTTTGAAGGTTTGAGGTCATCATAAAATTACAAAATATGAATTTAATTTACGGTCCGCTGGGGCAAACTTGGAAAAAACAATGAAAAATTGGCAGGACGTGGACCTCCGATATTTATTTTTGGACCATCATGTAATAACGGTCAAATAAAACAGTACGAACATAATTTTCCAATGGTCGAGAGGGAGAACATGTTTGGGTTGTGAAAGTATATATGCATGTAGATGTTGGGTTTGTGATCCAAAATCACCCTTGATGTTCACACGTATTTAGTCACACACACTCTCTCTCTCAAGTACTCTATCTCACTCACCTGTGTATTAAACCATAACTGATATTTGTTCAATCCTTTGTAAACTGTAACTGATATTTGTTCAATCCTTTGTTTTTGTTTTCTCAGTGGATGCCAATTGATGAGTATGCTGCTCAACCCTATATCCAGTCGCATGAATCCTTCAGGAAGGTTGCCGATATCTGCATAGCAAGGATGGACAAGGGCTATCGAGGCTTTTCACCATATATTGCCCAACGAAGTTTCTTGTATTTTAACAGTAGGGACTTGAGTGGGCCCTCGAGCTCATATTGAAAGTCCCCTTACTGATCTCTGTTTACTTTTTATTCTTGTTGTTTGCCAGTTGCCTTTATCTAGGTTTCATTGTGTTGTATATGCAAAATTCAGGTGGTCGTCCCACCCTATAAACTCTTAATTATATGATATCTCTGTGCTTTGTCAGCATTGTTGGCGCTTTAAAAGGCTTCCAGATAAGTGTAGTAAAAACCGGCTGGTTAGAACGATGGTCATGGCTAGTAGAGCCTATTGTATTAGAGAAAGAATACAATAACTTTGTTTTGTTTGCATTGGTTACGGGACAGCCGGCCCTATCTGTCAAATGTGAAACTGGGCAGCTAGGGATGTACTATTAGAAAAAATGGCCGTAACCCGGAGCTGGTTCCATCTAAGCAAGGTCTCGGAAGGGGTGGGTTAGAAACGGTCATAACCTTTGGCTTGTGTACAAAGTGACTGTGCTCTTGCGTTTGCTACCTGAGTTTTTTACCGTCACACCAAGTGATAGCCCCTTAGGGATGTATTATTGACCGCATTGAATTTGGGACTAGTGGCCAAAACTATTAGGCCTATGGCCGAGGTGAGTAACTCTTCCAAGTCGAGCTCAATTTTTTGTTTTTTAGAGAAAATTAAGATAAAAAACAATTATATGTGGTATGAGTGCTGCCTTTATCATTAAATAGTAGATTGGTGTGTTGGTTAGTGCTTTTTGCATAAATGGATCTTTTTACAAGAGGATTTTGTTAGGGGGTTATTTTTTTTCAAAACTCGAAAACATAATTTTTGTGAAGTACTATAAAAAGTTGTATATTACAGGATTCAAAAGGTTGAACTTTATGTGGTAGTAGTAACCAAAAAAGCTTTCTAGCACATTAGGTTTTGATTTCAGGTATTAATACAATTAAACTAAAAAAAACATGATATACAACCTCCTCGTTCAAAACTCGCTTCGCCCATAGGAAGAAGCTGAATTTCTTGGCCAAGTCTGAATGGCCTAGGTTGAGTCCCATGACATTGTTTTGGATGTGGGGTAGGGGTAGCAACACGCTTGGTGGCCCAGCCCAGCCCAAAACAACCCTTGCTTGAGCTTTGGTCCAAGGGCCAGGCTAGGGCTTGTATAATTTGCCTCAGGGCATGGGCACGGGGTCTTGGCCAAATCTAATATCCATTAGCCTACTACACCAGTGTTCCAAAACACAGATCATTGGGGTGGATCACTCTCCTGTAGGTATCGCAAGTGATCTGGATTGGTCTGTATAAGTGATTCAAGAAAATATTAAAAATAAAAATAAATAAAAATTAGAGTAGGGGTCAATAGGGTGGGAATTTGAGGCTTAAGAAAATATTAGATAAGATCACAAAATAAAAATGAAGACGTTTTAAGGGGGATTGAAGGGGTTTGTACCATCCTTGAACCGATTATGTCCAAATTTGTTCATAATCGGCAATCCGGATTACATATATCCGTGTTTTAAAACACCTGTCTATACTGTACTTCATAGTCTCTTGTCTATGTGTCATAAGTGCTATTAAAACACCGGTCTATACTGTACTTCATAGTCTCTGGTCTATGGGTAATAAGTGTTATTTTATCAGTCAAACAATATCTGGAACTAGAAATGTAGGGCCCCTCGCTGTACTATGTGCTCCTTAGCAAGCGGAGGCTTTTCAAGGTATACAAATGGAGTAATTTGTGCTCCTTCTGCAACCAAAACATCTCTGCTAACAAATCGCAATAGCTCATCGCTTCATCTTTCCATTTCTAAGAGGTAGTTGATCCTTTTCATTTATTTTTGGTGGAAATTTATGAACCATATGAATTTGGATTTTCGCTGATTATTTTTTCCTTCTTTATATTTGTGTTTTATGCATTGATCAAATGATGTTAACTAGGGCTTGAAACTCTGCAATAAATCTAGGTTTTTCTTTGGAATCAAATTTATTCCTAAATTATGTTGCAGAGCTCACAGGTTTTACTTTGTGTGTGTCTTTTAGCTTTCAAATTTGTTCGATTTGGCGAGATGGTTAACTTTTTGTTGAAAAGGTCTTTCAACCTAATTTTTTAAAAATATTTGGATGGTCCATAGGTCCACCATCTTGTTCTTTAATGAGCGATAATCAGACCTTTTTATGTCGTCACCTTATGGACTGCTTTTCTTATTTTTCTCTCAAAAACACCTTTTTATGTGGTCATCTTATGGACTGTCCTTCTTATTTTTCTCTCGTTATGAGGAGACTGTCCTGTCACTAGTGATAAAAAAAGGCCCTTTACGTACTTAGTCTGCTCTTCTTATTTTTCTCGCGTTATGAGGAAACTGTCTCTCTCTCACTGGTGATAAAAAAAAAGGCCCTTTACGGGCTTAGTTAAGAGTAAAGGGCTTCCTGTTAACTCTCGCTCTAAGAGATAAGAGAGGCTTATCCCTTTTTACCGGTTAAATAAAATCTCATGAGCTTAGGGTTGATAACAATAAACAGAGAGCTCTCACGTTTTATATTCTCTTTCTTGTGAACAGAAGTTTTCTCTATCGCATAAGGCTGTACTCTCTCTCAAGGAAGCTATCTCATAAGGCTTGTACTCTCTCTCAAGTAAGAGAGTGAAGCACTAGCCTCACGCGAGTTTCAAGTAATAGGTACTGTTCAATTTAATGAGTTATTTATGGCACGAGATGATTCTATTCCCAATCGATGTTTCATTGTAATATACTGATTGGATGATAAATTTTTGTAGTGAGAGAGAAGTTTGTCATCCTAATCAATGTTTGTATTATACCCATTAGATGTTGATTTTTGTAGTGAGAGAGAAGTTTGCCATCCTAATCGATGTGTGTATTATACCGATTGGATGATGACTTTGTTGTGAGAGAGAGAAGTTTGCCATCTTAGTTGATGTTTGTATTATACCAATCGGATGATGATTTTTGTAGTGAGAGATGTTTGTTTCCCATTGATCTTTGGTATCATACTTATTGGAAAGACGTATCAGTATTTTTGAAACTATGGTTTTGTACGGGTCTGAAGAGTGTACAACTCAAGTACTCAGGAATTGTATTGCGATCTGGTTTTATCCTAAGAGTGTACTTGGCGGGACCCTTTACACCTCAATATTTATCGATATGGAGGCGTTTAACACTTCCAAAGAAAGTGAGAGCATCTCGTACCTCAAGATCCCCCTAAATTTGGTCCCAGATAAATGGGAGTTTGTGTCCACCGTGATGTATAGTCAACTGCGATGGGACCCCAAACAACCAACAATTTTGAAGTCTTAAACTTGGTTATTTCTGGAGATGTCTATCGATTGCTAGTTAAACTATAAGAACCAGGATTGCGAAAGGCTAGACCAGTTTTGGTGATGCACATCATTTAAGATGGTAGCAGAGGTTCCAATTTCTTAGAAAATTGGAAGGTGTGTAATTCACAGACCCTTGGTGTCTATCTGCTTGCCATGTATTTATTGATTTTATGGTTGTTCTTCAAAAGAAGTAAAGGCCATAGCCTTAAGTGAGTGACAAATATGGTTTGTTATGATCTCTGATGTTTGTGTAGTAGGGGGTGGACTGAAGTGCCACCGGACTTGTTTTCAAAATTTAAGCTTGCTTTTGGGACCTATAGAAATGGTGGGGGTGACATTGTTCCATAAAAGGACTACCTCATCTCTGGCAAGATAATTGGCAAAGGGACATTTGATTTAAATTGACATCTTGTGAGGTCCTAGTTTTTTAAATTTATATATTGCCCTCAAAAGACGAAGATATTTTGTGGATTTATGCCACTGTAGGCATGTTTTATATAAGATTTATGGTTACCCTCTGCTGTGGGTCAACTCCATGGATATACCAGTAAATCAGGTTAAGAGCATTGGGAAACGGTATGTAGGGTCCTAAAAAATTTTAAAGGAACTATAGATCATGACCTACATAATGTGGGTGATTCGTTGTAATAAGAGGTACAACGATGCTTCCTGGATTCTAATGAATCTATGACTATCAGATGTATCTCCACTTGCGGTGGGGGTGTATTTTTTTGTAGATTCCAAGAGGTAGACTTGTAATGGAGAATATTGCCTTGGAACCCATAGTGAGGAGGCTAAGTGGCTAAAGACTTGATGGTAGACGTACCACCTGTTCAAGGCCCATGCATGCAGTCTCATATAGTGTGACTGTGGAGCTAATGTATACCAAACAAAAGGTTAGGGATTCATTCTAAAAAATCGAAATATACTCACTTGATGCACAATCAATTGAGACTTATGCTCGAGATGGAGTAATAATACCCAGGACTTGGTAAAATATTAATTAAAGACCTTGCAAGGCACCAAGTCGGGAAGAAAGCTAGAGGGATGGGATTGAACCCAAATGTTTTATGCCACAGGGCGATGGGAATCCTACCTAAGATAAAGAGATCCCAAGTCCAAGGTTCAAAGGGAAAAACAAGTCGATCTTGTGATGTCTGATGAATGTGGGTACCACAATATTTCTGGTTGAGCTTCGTGCTTAATAATGCCATTTGCCTAGATGATGTAAGGCCTAGGCTAGGGTATCACATTGCAGGACATCTTCCATGGATTCACCTATATGAGTGTGGAACTGGAGGCCACTTCCTATGGGAATTAGGCATCCCCTAGAGTGCTTATGAAAACCAGGATTAATGAAAGACCTTTAAATGCGTAAGCCTTTTAGAAAACCAGAGTTTTTTAAAGAGAATGTGTGGTATGTGGGAGGCCTATCAATAAGGACATAGTTCGATGTGTGTCTACTCACTGTTTTGGTAAGCGTTCCACATAACCCTAAGTGGAGGTTCAAGTCTATAAGACATCTTCACTTGTGCATTTGTCTTTTATGATATGTTTGGAGAGATATCTTGTTGTTTTGCAACAGGTGAGGGATTGTTGGGCTTTTGTTGAAAAAGTGTTTCAAAATAACCCCAATTATTTTAAAGAAATTGGATGGTCCATTTTTATTTGGGTGGACCTTAGGTCCACCGTCTTTTTCTTTAATGAGGTGTAACCACCTTTTTACGTGGTCACTTTATAGACCGATTTTCTTATTTTTTTAACACCTTCTCACGAGGTGTTAATAACAAGAGCTCTCTCTCTCTCTCTCTCTCTCTCGTAATAAAGAGACTTTCTCACTAGTAATAAAAAAGGCCCTTTACGGGCTTAGTTAAGAGTAAGG